TTAAATAGATGCGAGAGTCAACATCTTTTAAATTAAAAGTTTTAATCGCAATGCTTCTTCTTCTTATTTGGCAATACATCGGTTTTTCGGTTTGGGTCGAGACCAAGAAACTACGCCAATTGGCTCTCTTCTTTGATAATTTGCGCTAGTAGTTCATGACGAGTGCAGAAACATCCTTATGTATACTTTCTTTCGTTTGCCATCCATGGTTGCCAAGTCGAAGGATCTTTTCACTGGAACGCGGCAGAGCCAAGACACTCGTTGTATTTTTATGCGCTTAAATGTGTACGTGTAGTTAAAAATCTGGGCCGCATATCTTGCGTAGAATAGTTCTCTTAAAAGCACCCAACGGCTCCAATGAAAATATTCCAACGTTTGGTTAAAACCCCCGGTAAGAAGAGGGGTAGATATCGTGAATAGGGCTTTAGTACTTGAAGATTTTTTTTTTCATTATTACCATACAATTTTTCAAGAAATTTGCTACCCAGCCCAAACTATAGACTGGTGTCTACGCTAATTCGCAACGGACGTTTAATCTATCAGACTAGTAATTAAGGAATTATCCTGCCGTAATGGAATGCTCCTTGCTTTTAAAAGGCACGCAAGCATTTTTACCGTATCTGACGGTACTCTAGCTAAACCTAATTTTCTACAACCGTATCAGATTTTTGGGGCTGCTAAATTTATGCATCGCGGTATATTAGTTAAGGCTCCTATTTCAATGGTAATCACACGCAGTAATAAAAATCAAACAAACAGCTTAATGTCTGAACAGTTTTTGTCTCCACTGTATGTAGGTACGTATGTGTATGTGAATCACTATACCCAGCAGCGAATGGAATGCATTCCGTATCGATGCCTCACTGATGACAAGTAATGGTATTACATTTAACATTGCGTGACATTTGCGGTAAGGTGTGAGAGCTTCTGCTGCATTACTTTTCATCAACGAAGAAATGTCGCTCTTTCTGCATTACCTATAGCATAACATTACGCTCAAAGTAATGCAGAATGGTTTAAAAAGTAATGGGGGAATTAAACACTAGATTAATTCTGCGCAAAAGTAATGCAGCTATGTGATGATGATATATAGAAATGTCTAGCAAAACATTTGGAGTGTTCACATTTCGTTCCAAATTGTATCTCAAAATGTAGACGTCTACATTTTAAGACACTTTCTAACCGTAAACAAACAAATCAAGGAAAAGAAAGTACCATTTTTCAGAACCAAAATCGAAGGCGACATATGAAAAATGGACGCAAAAAGAAGTGTCTGGCAATACCAGTAAAGTTTTGCGACGATTTTGCGACGACTGCTAGAAAGGAGTGCTCACAATTTGATGCTAAAGACCTCAAAATGTAGACGTCTACATTTAGAAAGTACTACGAACAACCCAATTTTTATCAAAATGTATCTAATGCATATAAAATAAGGGGTTTGCCATGTCAATGGATGAAAGTACTAATTCGAAAAAAAAAAAAATCTTGTAGTATTTGATACATTGGAATTGATTACATTTGAAAAGCAGTTTATGGCTATTGTAATGCAATTGCATTACTTTGGAGTCGACTCTGGTGTAGGTGGCGTTCTCATGCAATCGCATTTTTACTGCTGGGTACTTACATATTTATGCACGTCGTCTTCAATCATACACAAATCACATTACCATTTTCTTTGCAGCACCACTTGTGAACTTCTTCGATTTATGTCACTCCGTAGTAAAAAAAAGGAAAGAGGGGCATATGTGTTTGCGAAAAGCTTCAGTTTTTTCACAATTCATATTTTTCAACACACTTCCACCCACTCTCTCCTCCAACTGCATTTTCGCGCACCGGCAATCATACAATTCATAGCAAAGCACACATGCAAATTTGCTTTTTCCGTCGCAACGGCTTCCAACTTCCACTCTGACTTTTCCAAACGCTGCAGCAAAGACATCATAAATTGTGGTGCTGTAGACAAAACTATTCCACCTTCGCGAATTGCTGAAGCACCGCCGCGGCGGCCGTACAATCAGACTGGCATACACGTTAAAATTGAAGCTAAAAGCGGCTCACATGAAAGTGTATGTAATACTCGTACAAAACTGGCTGGCTCGGGTGCGGTATCGATGTGTATTGCTTGGCTGGGTTACCCATAATCAGCCCCCGTGGCTGACAGTGTGCACTGAATTGCATTGCCGGCACAGCTGTTTGCACCTTCGCCAGCGCACATATAAATAAAATAAATAGATAAATGAAACCACAATTGAATTTATTTTTCGACTGCGAGTTTTTAAAAACTTAATTCGGATGTTGTGCGAGGGCTGAGTCTGAAAACATGCAATAAACTCTGCAATGCTGGGCAGAGGAAGTTCGTTGCGGCGAAAAGCGCTAGTCGACGTCGTGGCTAAAGTAGTGCTATGAAAAACAGTTAGTTTGTCAAATTAACTGCAAATGTGCTGTCAACTGTCGTTAGTGAATGTATGACAGTTTGGCGGTAAAAACTTTTAGCCTAATGACTCTTTTTCGGATAGCAGACGGTTCCGACGTGAACTGCAACTACATGCAGCCAAAGGCTTTTGAAGAAAGAACAAAATTTATTGGAAGAGGGATTTGAATTTGCTGCCTTGAGAATTTATGAGAGTAAGAATATTTAAATGGCTGAATTGATTTTAGCCGTCGAAATGCGTGCCTTTATTTTATAGAGAAACAGTCAAATTAAAGAAGTGCGCAGATGTCTTTAAATGGGTAACTAAGGAAATAAGCTTAATTTTTCACTTGCGGAACATGTTCCGGTCTTCCAGGCTGAAGCGTTTGCAATCCTCAAGGCCATGGAGAGCGATGTTGCATACCTAATTATGTCCAAGTAGACGTCCTGTGAGCTTAGGCCTTCCCAATGGATTTCTGTCATTTATATTATGGGACTTTCTAAAGCTTTCAGCCCGCTTATTAGCGTCTTAAAATAATTTCAGTCTCAGAGAACAGTAGATCAATTTCCTCTTGGCATTTCCTGGTCGGTCTCATTTTCTTCCATCTTGCTATTGTTTTTTTCTTGCTAGTAGCTGTAACATTTCATATCGTAACATTCATTCATATCTTGGACTCTGATGGGAAAGAAACTCAGTGGTCATCAACTGGTCAACTATATATTTTATTGCAGGAGCTCATATGCCAGAAGCGATAGACGATTTAGTAATACATAAGTTCAAATAGTATAAGTATCTCGTTATTAATTGTTCTATGCCGAATTATCTTATACACTACTAGAAACCGCTGCCCGGGAGCTAATAGAGACTTTGAGCAGTAATTTGCGACACAGATCAGATGTAATAATACTTACCCTGGGATGTAGTAATTCAGTCTCATCTCAAGTCAATAAATTTGAGATTAGCAATTAGTGACTATTTTTGTAACTTGAAACGATTTGGGTATTCAAAAGGAGAGAGTCACAAAAAGTTCACCAAAAATGTGTGGTGAAAGCAAACACAGACAATCAACTGATAGTGTTTATGTATGCCTTTTGCCCGCGCCGCTCAAAGAGTCGCAATGGCCGAGTGGTCAAAGCATTAGGCTGGCAGCCGAGAGGGTCCGAGTCCTCCTCGGCCGTAGAGGATTTTTTATTTTTTTTACTTAGTATCTTTTTATTTTTTTATTAGTTTTATTTTTTTCTAACAATCTTTAGATTATAAAGTTTTAAAAACAAAAAAAAATTAATTTTTTTTTCAATACATTTGTATGATACATGATAAAAACATTACAAGGTAAATTCATTCTCTCACTTCGTCGGCCATGATTTTTTTCTGACGTTTTCCAACATTTTAAAATCATATAAAATTGAAAATAACAAAATTAAATTGTTCACAATTGTTGTTGTTTGAGATTGGAAATGAGAATGTGTGTGTGAGTTTGAGTTTTGATTTTAAAATTATATTGTTGGCAAACGTCAGACTGCCTCTCAATGGTTTTACCTTGTTATGTTTTTATCATGGTATGATATTAAAGCATTTTGGTTTATTTCCTAATGAAATTCTTGTTGAACAAATTCCCTCCCTTCATTTTCGCGTTTTTTTTTTAAATAAAATGGAAAGAAATAAGCTTTTCCTCCATACTTCTATTTTTGTGACCGGCTCTTAGCCAGCTGACAAGTTAGTGACTTATTTTTGAGACTAGAGACGTGAGACAGCGTACTGAATACCAAATAGTCTCAAAATCCAAGTTCACAGACAAAAGTCACTATTAGTGACTAGAGACCGCTTACTGAATGCCAGGGTTAGTCGTCTTATAGCGTAGCGATTGTGATCTTTTTTTTTTGAGGTGGAACAAATGTATAGAATAAATAAAATGCGTAGAAAGCTTAAGAAGCTCTGCGCGCGGACATCACGACTGCCATGTAATACTTTATATGCATTTTGCAGCTCTAAAGCAGCTTTTACCCTAGTAACGAACAGAGGGAGCTTTTAATCGACATATTCATATAAAATAGCCTTTCCCGCACGCAAAACTTTTTAAGCTTTATATATCTACATTTTTTAGAGCCGCGCAAAGGATGCAAGCTTAAAACGTCAGCAGTTTATGTTTTCATCGCAACTGCCATATGCACTATATCTACTTAAATATATAAAATGAATGGAAAATTTTAAAAAGCGCTGCACGCGGATAATGCTTTATTAAGCTTTCAATAAAATGGGCGGATTACTGCTAAGGGCCGGTTTCACCATTAACACTAATCTCTAGTTAAACATTGTTACCGACGTTATCGACCCAATGTTATATGTATGGAGTCAGTAACGTCGGTAACGATGTTAAACTGGAGATTAGTGTTAACCAGAGGTAGTGAAAACGGGCCTTAGAGTTTTAGATATTTTCAATTCACAACTTTTGCAAGGAGCTTTTCCATCTTTCCTAGTTATGTGGAGAATTACAAACGCCTCTAAAATAATACATATTGTACTCATATTATTTTTATTTAATTGGACTTATACATATGTATTTATGTTATTTTTATTCTGCTCTTTTAGTGTTTGGCTTGGACTCGCCGCTTGGTCTCTTTCCGCCCGGAATTGACCCGGGTAAACTCTACAATCCGCTAATGGAAATGTCCGATCCACGTGGCATGCCCAGCGATCATCCGCCGCCCTTTCTGAAAGGCAAAAAAAGTGAGTAAACAATTTTGAAATTTCTTTAAAAGAAAAAAAACGTTAGCCAACAGTAACTTACAGTTTAAATGTAAGCAGTCACAAAGTAAAAGCAACTAATTAACCTCGCAATTGAACCTGAAATTCAACATACAGCTAGACAATCGCCACGCTTCGAGTATTTTCCGAAGGAAATAAAAAAATAAAAATAAATAATTGTCCACAAGAAATTGCAACTATCCACTAGGTCAGCTGAATAAAAACGAAAAACAATTCAGAAAAAACTGCATTTTCACACCCGAGTAGTAGTAGCGCCTACTGCATAAAGCACAACGATTGCTGCCTGCCCTTTTGCCACTGCATGTTTACACACTTTGCGCATGCGCACCCACTTAACTGCACTCGTCTTGCTGGCACTTTTGCTCACGTGCTCACTCGTTGAGCTACTGGATCGATGGGGTAATCATCGCATCACTTGAGTAGTGATATCGTAGCAGGCGTATTGCCATTCTCTTCATAAGCGTTTCCACTTTCATGATTTCAATTGCTTTTGCTGGCAAGGTGTCCGTGAATTGCCTTATTTTTCGCATTAAAAATGTGCAATCCAAGACATTTACTCTTTGCTGATCAATTTTGAGTTTGTTTAGGTATTAATTCCAACGTAGATACATATATTGCAAACTACAATACAAACGTATCGAATCTAAGTTAATTCAAAGCGATTAAAAAATCATTTCAGGAAGTGCAAGCGAAAGCACTTTGAGGTTTGCTAAAAGGGGATTTTCATTGAACTTGAAAGTATAAAAAATACTTTCAATTTCAATAGAGTTTGTTTAAAAAAGCCATTTAACTTTTTCTCAAATCAATTAAAATATTTAAGAAGTAAAAGCAAAACTAACAATAAATTGTTTGTGAAAGCTTTAAATTAGTCGCTGTCTAATGAACGTCGTTAAAGGCTTATTAAATCTGCCGGTACTAGTTAGTTAGTAGTTACGTCTTTAGTGCGACTCGAGAAGTGAGAGAATGACAGGAGAAATGCTTTTCGAAACACGCATTTGAGACAAAAGCTTCCCCAACGACCTAAAGTCCGAAAAGTTCCGCTGGAATATACCACCATCACAAAACGGTACTGTGTTAATTTTTAAGAGCGCATACCAAAGTGAAGTGAGCTCGGCACTGGAAGGCACACTTCTGGAGATAGTGGACATGATTTTCTGTGCCCAAACATTGCGAGAGTACTCTATGAGCCAGCAGCTCATCAAAAGTTGCGAAAACATGAAACCATCGATCCATTTTAATGACACTTCATACAAGCAGGGTTTTGGGCATGCTGATTACGCATCAGCTGATTACGAATTTTAAATCGGATTTGGAATTTGGGTCCAATATGGCGGCTCGTAGGTATTAGCCGGGCGATGGAACATTTGTGGTGAAATGTTTCTCACAAGCCAACTGAACGTGGTTCAACGGCTTTCTGGAATTGGTGGGACAAGTTTAAATGTTTACAGTTGTGGGTAATAGGCTGGCAATAAAGACAAAGTATCGACGTGTTATTTTCCACAAAAAGAGTGGTAATTGAAAGGTTAAAGAGGTGCTGTTTTGGTACAGAGCTCCTTATACACCCTAGGCAAACTTTTACATAACTCTAGAGTAAGAGCAGCTTTCATTTGAGTGACATCAGCTTTTCATTGCAAGCTTTCAATCAACTTTTATTCCACTGGATTTTTTAACCAACTTTTAACAACTTCCTTCGACTACAAGCTATAGCAACAAAATACTACATTATTTAGTGACACTTTTATCGCCTTCCTTCATCTACGTGATTCCACCGAATGCAGTCTTGCCAAGCACTCCAACGTCTAATCGACGTGCCATTATGAGCGTCATTGTCGTAGACGCAGTCCGATATCACATGAGGCGGTAAATTCAATCTTGTGGTTTTCCTGTATGGCTCAGCTGAATGCGCATGTGCGCCTAGGCATGTCAGGCGGCGCTTAACGCTCAACGCTCAGCGACAACAAACAGAAACAAATTATGTAGTGCATATGCAGTCGAGTATGTTTGTTTGCTTGTGAGTGTGTGTGTGTGCATTGATTTTATTGCAGTAAAGTGAACGCATCATTTGCCATAAAAAGTGTGCAATTTTTCAATTATTGAGCTCAACGTTTTGCATTCATTGTGCAATCATCGGTCATTGAATGAGTGAGTAAGTATGAGTTTAATGCGTTTACGTGTGTGTATGTACACATGTATACATATGTATACTTATGTATATCGGCAACATTCGAAGAAACCTCAAATAGTTAATGAGTTTTTTCTGCATATCAACCGCATTACAAGTAAAATTTTTTCCTTACTTCTTTCAAATAATATTTATCAGTCTCATTGTTTGGTTATGCACCTTTAACATTTATCCATAAACAAGAACAGTAACAATAAAGGTAAAAAAGGCAACATTAACAGCCACACAGACAATAGGAAAATTCAAGCTCTATGTACCTAAATATAGTCATGTGAAAAATGATAGGGACACGCAAATTTTACCAGTTTCGACTGTTTATTTTTATTTTTATTTTTATTTTTATTTTTATTTTTTTGTTTGTAGAAAAACTCAACAACACACTTTTTATTAAGAGTTATAAGTAAAATTCAAAGTATGCAGCTTTATAGCCCATTAAATTATAGCTCAATACATTGCAAGTTCCCAATGGCTAATAAATCGCGTTGATTTTTGATATTTTTTGATGATGGTGTTAATTTTTTCTACCATACAAAAACATTTGCGAACATACTTTGTATGGATGAAAATTCTTATTAAAAATTTTGTTGTTTGAACCTTATTTTACTGAGTTAGAATTTAATCTTCTATAAAACTGCATACGTAGAATTTGTATAGAAATTCTTAATAAAAAATTTGTTATTGTTGTGAAATTTTATTGATTTTTTTTAGTTTTCCTACAAAGTTTTGAAAGTTTGAAGTTGAAAATTTGGTATATTTGTTTTTTTTTTGATACGCTGCATTTTTATACACAAATAATACAAAACATTAAACACTCAAAAGAAAAATAGCCGAAACTGGTCAAAATGTCGTCTCCCTATTATTTTTCCCATGACTGTATGTGCAAATGTAGTACGTATGTACATTAGGGGGGTTCAAAAATGAGAAATGTGAAAAAGTAAAGTCGGAATTTTTATGCTCTCACCCATTAGGTTTGTTCTATACTGAAAAAATAGACCCATATTTTTTTATTATGAACTCAAAAAGTATTTAGAGGTTGCTCAAAGCGCCCAAAGTTTTCCATGTATTTTATATGGGGAAAAACAACTTTTCGTAGAAATGGTATAGAATAGTTAAAAATCAATATTTTTCTACCAGAAAACTCTGTTTATCTGTAGGGGATTCCCAAATAATAATACCCAATTTTTTATTTAACTATTTTTTCATTACAATTTTAATTTATAGGTCCGCCAAAAACCCACAAAACCCCGAAAAATGCAATATGCCGACAAACAAAAAATCGTTAATATTAAAAAATTGTTAAATAAACAATTGCATATTATTATTGAAAGTCTCCAGAAGAGAACCATAGTTTTTCGGTCGATAAATATTGACATTCAAGAACTCTATACCATTTCCACGAAAAAATGTATTTTTCCCATATAAAAATATATCGTCACTAGACACGAATAAAGGCGCGAGCTCAGAAGTTCACGGCGAAAAAAGACGCATAAAAAAACTTCAGCGTCAAAGCATCTTTTTTTACGCGCCTTTTTTCGCCGTCAAAACACTAGCGCGCCTTTATTCGTGTGTAGTGACGATATGGAAAACTTTGAGCGCTTTGAGCGACCTCTAAATATTTTTTGATTTCAAATAGGGGTATACTTTTTTCGATATAGATCAATCCTAGGGGGTGAGATCATAACAATTCCGACTTTACTGTTTTTGGACCACCCTAATGTACATATGTACTTTTATACACACATACAAGTAGTCATAAACGTTTGCACTATGCATGAAAACCAATTACAAAAATGTATATGTACTACAAAACGTACTGACCAACAACACAAACGGCTAGTTAAAAACAAATCGTAAGACAAACAAAAACTCTCATCTAAAAGATATGAAAAAATTGCTAAGTCATATGATTGACAGCATTGAAAAGCAGTGTAAAAAACGTTTCGTTTTTTTATGAATTAAACACTTACACGCTTCATAAGCAATTATGCTTTTACTCGGCGTTTTGCATTAATTTTTTTTACATTTTGATGAACAGTGAAACTTCGATATAACGAAGTCATGGGTCAAAATCATGGAGATGGAGAATTTTATTGCGGTAGAAACCAATTTAGTCTATGACCGGCAGGGCATGAACTAACATATTTTTGAATTTGTCGCGAAACGGAATGAATGAGGAACTAGAAAAATTCATTTCGGGAACGTTTTTGAAACTAAAAAATAGATGTATTCGAAATATATGTAGTATAATTCGTTTAGTGCAGCTAAAATTTGTAGGAGTTTGTATAAATCGTCGTAGTTCGAGATCGTTCTCAAACAGACTATACCTTTATATATCATCGTTTATTTCCAACTAAGTAGTTTTGAGATTAAATTACATTTCACGCGAATACTTACAAATCTAAAAACCTTTAGCACTCTCGAAATTATACTAAATTGATTTACGCTATACACATTTGCAATTTGAACATATTCAGAGTACGCTAGGTGGAGGCTTTTGAGTCGACCCTTCGTTGGGTAGAAGATTTTGCTAACCGCACTTTAACCGTCAATATATTCTGAAGATTTTAATGCTCAAAATTATCGGAATAACGGAATTTTCCAGGGGGTCTGCAATTTTTTTTTATATTGAGTTATTCGTTTTACCATGGCTCATTATATCGAGGTTTCACTCTACATAGCTTATGTGCATAGTAATATATTTGGTATTAGCGATGTAAATAGGCTCAATGTTGATAAGTCAAATCAGCGATTTTTGACAAGCTCATTTCGGCATCGACAT